GTGATGGTATTAGGAGGTGGGCCTTTGGTAGGTGATTAGGTCATGAGGGTGAAAGCCTCATGAATGGGATTAGTGGTCTTATAAAAGGGACCCCAAGCGAGCTCCCTTAGGCCTTACACCTGTGAGGGCATAGCAAGAAGACAGCTATCTATGCTAGGAAGTGTGCTCTTGCCAAACACACTGAATCTGCTGGATTTCCTGGCCTCTGGACCTGTGAAAAATAAATTTCTGTTGTTTATAAGCCACCTAGTCTTTGGTATTCTGTCATAGCAGTCTGAGCTAAGACACTAGATAACATTAAAAAGAATCATGCAGAAATATTTTCATTAATAAGGAAAATTTTCTGTGATATATTATAAAGTGAAAGTTGGAAGGTACCTACAGGGAAGTGTAAGCCCTGACTTCGCTCTGACCCTGGGCAAGAAACTTGACCTCAAAAAGTATCAGTTTTCCCACCTGTTGTGGGTTGAATTGTGTTCTCCCCAAATTCACATGTTGAAGTCTTAACCTCCTATGTAAGAATTTGACTGTATTTTGGGGACAGGGCCTTTAAATGGGGGTAATTAAGTTAAAACGAGGCCATTGTTGGGGGGGCCCTAATCCAGTATGACTATGGAGGGAAGGAAAAAACCTCTTCCTCTGCCCGCTCAAGTTTAGTAGCTGGGGCCTGAGAATTAAACTGACAAATAACAGGAGAGACAAACAGGATAAGAAAAATACTTAACTTTAAGTATTAATAAAATTGTATGTGCATGGGGGCTTCACAGAAAAGAAGTGAAAAAAGTCAAAGAGCAGACAGACTTGGGGGCTTACGTACCTTTTTTTTTTTTTTTTTAAGATTTTATTTATTTGACAGGGAGAGACACAGCGAGAGAGGGAACACAAGCAGGGGGGGGTGGAGAGGGAGAAGCAGGCTGCCCGCGGAGCAGGGAGCCCGATGTGGGGCTCGATCCCAGGACCCTGGGATCATGACCTGAGCCGAAGGCAGACGCTTAACGACTAAGCCACCCAGGCGCTCCACTCATGTACCTTGCTAACAAAAGGTGATAAATTGTGGAGAAGTGACTAGACGAAGGAAAGCGGATTTGGGCTGCTTGAGTGCATTAATGTGCAAAAGTGAATAGGAAATATGTGTGGGGGACAAAGATCTTTTAATGTAAGGTAAGGGTTATTTTAGTAAAGTCTGTTTATGCAAACTCATCTCATCATTGACTCCTTGTCTGCAGTGATGAGTGCTCTCCTCACCTCTCCTCTTCCCGGTACTCTCCCAGGGAAAGTCTCTTCTCATGGGAAATTTATGCCCTGCTTTTATGCAGATGGTGAGAGAGCAGCGAGTTCTCAGTTGCCTTCATTTCAGCTCAAAATAATCAATATTCTGAAAGTGGCATATTTCGGGATATCATATTCTGACTGCCCTTCAACTGATGTCCTTATAAGAAGAGGAAATTTAGATATAGATGGGCAAAGAAGGGAGACCATGTGGACATAATGAGAAGGCAGCATCTAGGAGTCAAGGAAAGAGGCCTTAGAAGAAACCAACCCTGCTGACACCTTGATTTCAGACTTCTAGTCTCCAGAACTGTGAGAAAATAAAATTATGTCATTTAAGCTACCTAGTCTGTGGTACTTTGTTGCAGCAACCTAGCAGTCCTATAAGATGGGGAAAATCTTAATACCATCTTTATTTAGCTTTCAAGGTTGCACTGAGTCTTTGTAAACTATAAAGCACTACACAAATGTAAAAACCTGGAGGAATGCAGTCATCTTGTTAAGACTGGACATTATAGGGACGCCTGGGTGGCTCAGTCAGTTGAGTGTCTGACTCTCAGTTTCAGCTCAGGTCATGATCTTGGTATCGTGGGATCGAGCCCCATGTCGGGCTCTACTCTCAGCACAGAGTCAGCTTGAGATTCTCTTTCTCCCTCTCCCTCTGCCCCTCTCCTTGCTTGTGTGCACTCTCTCATAAGTAAATAAATCTTAAAAAGAGGAAGATTGAACTTTATAACCCTTTTGTAAGGCAGAGGCTCAGTTCCCATACCGAGGATGGAAAGAAGCAGTGTGTATGTGTTATCTATTTTGGTCTCTTTTGTTACAACACATACCTTCAGTATGAAAATCTGTTTATATGTAGTAGGTAAAAAGTAATAAAACCGCCAAAATAAGAAGTCATGATTTTTCAAGAGATGAATAGGCTTTGTATTACTGTGAAACGGGAAAAACACTACCTGACTGAACAAAGTGACCTATGGTAAAATGCATGACACACATTCACATTGTCTTCTTACTTCTACCCCAGCACACCCACATGTGTTGTCCTGAGTACGTGCACTGTTCTGTTGAGTTTGTGTTATATCATGATGAACATGTTGAATATATTTTGTTAAAACTGTATGAGCATACTGGTTCTAAGATCCCAAGTAGTGAATAAAAAGAAAAACCTTACGTTTTGAGGTGAAAATTGAAATAATTAGATGTTTTGAAATAAATGAGAAAAATTCAAGGCCTGAGGAAATCCACACTGCCCACATTCAGGAATAATGCTGAGAAAATAAACAAAAGGAGAGCTTATGCATCCCAGTTATTGTCTGCTTCTAGTGAAATGGGAAAGCACTTGGGAGAGACTGAAGATGAAGACTCTGATGCCAAGTAATGCCAAGTGCAGTTGAATAGCATTCTGTGGCTTCTAGGCTCATTAGAAACCATACAAGCAACTTCTTTATGAAAAGAGGAAACTGGCAGAACAAAAGTGGGATTTCTATTTTAAGCTGGTTTAGGAAACAGAAAAACAGAATAAGAAACTACAGAAGTCCATCTCTGGTGTCACAATAGGTTAGCCTAAGAATGATGATATCCTTCTTTCCTATTACCTCTACTCAGTAATTCAAAAACCACAACACTTTATCATACCCATTTCCAGCAAGTGGTGTTTGAAGCATAGCTATCCACTAAGGAAAATAATTAACTTATAATCTCCCATTTAAAGTCTACATGGAAAATGCAAAACTTCCATATAGCACAACGAACTAAATTAAAAGACAATGACAAGCATGTCACTGCAACATGTGTCAAAGGGTTAAAATTCTTATAATAATGTATGAAAAGCTCTTATACATCAATAATAAAAAAGAACATCCCAATAAAAAATGGTCAAAGGATATGGAAAGAACCCAAGAACAAACGCAAAGGCTAATCCATGTCAAATAGTGCTCAATTTCAAATTTAAAAATGCAAACTAAAACTATGTTTTATTTTTAACCTAGTAGATTGGCAAAGACATTTTTCAAAAAAGATTTTAAAAATAAGTTCAGTAATTTTCCATTTGGGAATTTATTCAAAGGAAATAATGAAACGGGTTCAAAAATATATGTGAAGAATTGTTCATTGCAGAACTGAGTTTTAAAAATTGAAGTAATCTGGGCGCCTGGGTGGCTCAGTTGGTTAAGCGACTGCCTTCGGCTCAGGTCATGATCCCGGAGTCCCGGGATCGAGTCCCGCATCGGGCTCCCTGCTTGGCAGGGAGTCTGCTTCTCCCTCTGACCCTCCTCCCTCTCATGCTCTCTGTCTCTCATTCTCTCTCTCTCAAATAAATAAATAAAATCTTTAAAAAAAAAAAAATTGAAGTCATTTAATCTAGCAGTTGAAGATTAGTCAAATAAATCAAGACATCTATACTTTCATTTAGCAATTCTGCTGCAATCTACCCCCTAGAATAGTCCATAAAATCATAGCTCTTAGTGACACAAAGATGTTAATTTCAGCACTTTGTAAGGAAAAAATGGTAGAGTACACCCACATCAGGAAGGGAGAAAAAGAAAAAAGACTGCACAGTAATGATATTTCTGCATCCACTAAGACATTGTGGAAGTAAAAGTAAAAATAGACTAAATGATATTTTATAGAATACTATGCAGCTGCAAAAAAAGGCGTTCTATATTTTCACATGAAAAGTGACCTCACAGTGAAAAAAGTTCTGTGGCTGTACATATAATATGATCTCATTTATATAAATATATTGTTAAAAAGAAAACCACAGGCCCAAAATGGCGTCACTTAGGTTAAGGCCCAGAACCAGTTAACCAAGAATTAAAAAAACCTAACCTGTCATTTCAGCCTAGAAATGTAACCTCTAACCAGTCAACATGGGAATTTCTCGGTCAGCATTAGGAAATTTACTGATACACCCTTTCTGTCCCCCTCAGGAGGGTGACCTTGCCTCAAACAATGGATTCTTTGCTAACAATGTCCTTTTTTCCACACCTTTAAAACCTTTAAAAAGCCTTTAAAAACCTTTCCTTTCCTGTAGCCCTTTGGAGCTCTCCTCTACTTGCCAGATGGGATGCTGCCTCATTCATGAATTGATAGAATTAGATCTTGAAAACTTAATATATATTAACAATATATAAGGCTGCTTGAAGAGATTTGGGGACACCGAATACCTTGGCAATGACCTCTGAAAACTCATTCCCAATGGACCCTAATTTGAAAATTTGCGTTGGTGTTGTCTGACATAAGATTTGGTTGTGTAAATATTTATTTAAATAAACATTAAGTTCGATTTTGCCCTTGCAAATCTCCTAATTCTAGTTTTTCCTATCTACCCATGAAAGGTTAAAGACCCGCCTGGAGCTATGAGATACAAAGAGCCGAACAGCAAGTCTTACAGAGCTACGTTGCTCGGCTTTGTATTTTCAAACAACCCTTTTATTACTAAGGTTTCTGGGCCAGTGGGTTTGAAAATGGTTGGTACTGAGGTGCAGGGTATACAACGGTGAACCCAAGCCTCTGAAGACCTTACAGGGGTAGGACCCGTCACTGCGTGTACCTCACTGCGCCATTTCTTGGCTCCTACGCACTTCTCCGAAGAGGGAACGTCGAATCCTGCTAGGACCTCCAACCAATGGCTACACTTTTGCTCCCAGCCCTAGCAACTCCGGGCCAATGCGCGGAAGGCTATCTTTTGATGCGGTACTGTCCTGCTCCAGCCAATCGGAAGCGTTCTTCAAATGCCCCTCTCTGAGATCGCAGGCTCCAGGGAAGCAGGCTTCACTTCCGGAAGGCTGTGAGGGGCGGCTGCGCGTGTTGCCATAGCGACCGTTTTACGTTAACTGGTTTGTAGGTTTCGTCCAGGTAGCAGGGGGACTGCGGGGACCACTCTTTCTTCTCCCATTCTGTCTCGGCTCCCTGCGGCCCAAGAGCCTTACGCAGGCTCCGGGGGTCTGGCCTACGGTTCCGCGGCGCCCCGCAGAGCGGGATGGCTGCGGAAGAAGAGGATGAGGTGGAATGGGTAGTGGAGAGCATCGCTGGGTTCCTGCGAGGCCCGGACTGGTCCATCCCCATCTTGGACTTTGTGGAGCAGAAATGTGAAGGTAAGAATCAGATCTCGAACCGACAATTCTTTCTCGCCTCTCTCTCACCAGCGATCGGCAGGAAGGTGGTCACCACGAACCATCTCTCATCTCTCAGGTCTTTACTCCTGTCGGCCAGGTTCAGAGCTGGTTTGTAGGAGGTATTGCTGTCACTGCGCCAGCCGTCTTCCTTCACGGAACTGAAGACGGGGACTCCCCTTTTCCTGGGCCCAAGCACACATCCGAAAATCATTAGACTTCAATCCTATGTTGGGTCTCTCACCTTACCCTGCACGTTTCTTCCTTGGGCAGGTGCACTGTTTGGGCGGGCTTCAACAATTTCCCCAGGGACTGGGGAGGAGAGAGGTCAGTTCGCCTGTGTTCCTTCTGATCTAAACAGTTAACCGAAAAGGGAGGGCATACTGTTGCTCCACCAGGCCCAGAGCTGGCGACCCAGTGGCCTGTTTGCCTTTCCTGAGCACTCGGACTCTCGGATATACCAAAAATGGGGGGTATCTTCTAACAAGTGAGGTGTATAAAGGTGGCATAATATTCCCTGTGAGGGCAAAGGACCCCCAGGCCGTGATCATTCACGCTTAGAGTTCTGCATTCAGTTCTCGGAGACAAACTGGAGTCCATGTACGGAAAAGGAGCTAGAAACCATGTCATATGAATGAATGCCCAACTGATATCATGGTTGTTTAGCAGGCAGGACTTGCAGGGCAGTAATATCCATTAATCATTTGAACGTCTGCCTTATGTTGGAGGCTTTAGACTTGTTTTGTAAGGGTCAGTGGGTACAAGCCACAGACAAATTTCTATGAAGGAAGTGCTCCATAGGGGAATGTATCCCAGTTAAGTTAGCCTACCTGAAAAGGTAATGAGTTCCCCAGACGGTAGCTGTGTTTAAATGGATTTGACAGCAACTTAATGGAGATGTTATAGAGGGGAATTCAACCATTAAATGGTGAGTTATCCTGGATGACCTTTGAAAAGTCCTTTCAACCCTAAGAGTCCATGAATCTGGTAAAGATAAACTTTAGTTTGACCGTTGAATCTTTTCATTACCATAATCAAAATTATGCTGTAATCAAAATTCAGAGAGTATTTAATTGTTTAGAGAGTATTGTTTTTATGCATAATTTCTAAAGTTCAAAATAATTTTTATTTATGATCTTTTTAAAAATTTAAAATTCTGAGACAGATGAAGCATGTGGAATTCTGACCTCCTTTGGGAGAAAAAAAGAATTATGTCACTTTTTGATTCTATTTACGCCTCCGAGACTAAATGCTAAAATGAAAAAAAGTTAAAGCATTGCTCTTTTTATCCCCAAATGTCAAAAGCGGTTGCATCTCAGTAGTAATACATCTGATTGTGTAATTGTACAGGGAAGCCTTATACATATGTAATGTAGTAATTTGGTTTTAGAATTAACTGGAAACAGTTAATTAAGTTGCTGCTATATTGTGTGTATGCCCAGTGTTATATAGAGCAGATGCCAGTAGAAGTGGAAGTAACATCCTAGTGTCACTTGAAATAAATGTTAACACTTGAGTAACTTTAGGTTGTCAGTGTGCTATTCTTTAAAGATGAGTTTTGTACAACCTGTGATATCAGCATTTATTTCAATAAACACTTATTGAGTGTCTATGGGCCAGAAGCTGGGGATAGAGAGATGAATGAAACAAAATCCTTGTGGTTGAGAAGTTTATGATTTAGTGGGGGAAGACAGGCAGGTAAATGGAATTTAAATCTAAAATGTCAGGTGTTATAATAAAGGAAGGCATGTGGCACTATTGTAAGAGTTCAAAGGAAGGGATCTAACCAGCCCAGGAGTTGGGAGTGGGTGGCAGGTCTTGGAGAATGTGCCATTTGCGATGTCTTGAAGAATAGTTGGGGGAAGAGGATTAGGTAAAGGCAAAAAATTCTAGGAACACTTGAGCAAATGTACAGGAGTTTGAAGCACTGCACATGTTATGTTTGATGGCATTCCAAGTAGTGGTGTATGTTAAGAGTGCAAAGTTTGGGTTTTGGAGTGAAAGGAGATGAGACTTGGAGGTTTTGTCTGGCCTTCTAAGGATTTTGCATTTATTATTTAAGCAAAGAACAGTCATTGAAGAGCTTTAAATAGAAAGTTAAAGAAGTTAGTTTTGCATTTTAGATCATTTAGGGGGAATTTAAAAAAGTTTATTGGTAACAATTCATGAATTTGGCGTGTTTCCCTAATTAGATTGTAGCTTCTTGATGGAATATATATCTTTCTAATCCACATTGTTTCACACATATGATCATTGAGTAAACATTTGTTTTGGTTTTATTTATTTTAATTTCATTACTGACTTATATGGAGCAAAAATGGCCTAGTCACTCTCAGTAAAATTTGCATCAGCAAATTTTGAATATGATAACATAATCTGGAGCCTGTTGTAAAAGGAATTAATGTTTAAAAACTATTAATAATATTCCATTAAAAGTTTATAAAGAAATTGTTGCCTTTTATTATTGAAAGTAGCAAATTAGTGTTTGTCTTACATATGAAATAGATCTTAAGTAGGAAAAAACACCGTTATATGTTATACAAATAACATATATTATTACAAATATATGTATATATCATATATATATACACATAGTTTTTTTTTAATTCAAGAATTCAAAGCTGAAGAGCTAGGTTATAAGAACAAGAATTCTATTGTAAGATGTAAGGCGTGCACTTTTATATTTGCATTAATGAAAGGATTCGTTTTTGTACACTATATAATAATATTTTTCTTTTAAATTTAGTTTTTGATGATGAAGAAGAAAGCAAATTGACCTATACAGAGATTCATCAGGAATACAAAGAACTAGTGAGTATTTTATTTCCACTGATTTTTAAAGGTAATTAAAATAATATTAATTTTAGCTTTTCTAAATTAAAAACATGGACTTTTTCCATTTTAAAATTCTTTAATTAAAAAAATCCATTCTAGGTACACCTGGCTGGCTCTGCTGTAGAACATGTGACTCTTAATCTTGGGGTTGTGAGTTCAAGCTCCATATTGGGAGTAGAGCCTCCTTAAAAAAAGAAAAAAGAATAAAAAAAATCCAGTCTACCCTAATAGTACTACCAGTTCCATCAGGCCCTAACGCTTCTCTGAGCGTTTCATCCTTTTGACTTCTTATCTCTTCCACTCTAGAGTCTAAGAAGTGAATTTCGGACAACTGTTTTAAGGGATCTTGCAACTAATCTTTAAATTTTATTTTTAATCTCCTGTTGATGCATCTAGAGAAGTGTTAATTATTAATTTGCCATGGTTGTCTTGTGATTTTTAAAAATGCCTGAGTAATAGAAGAGTTGTACTGCATTGACTGTCATAGCCCTGACTTCAATTATTTCAGGGAGAGGAAATAAAATTTCATTTGATTCTCTGCAAAAATTTTAACTTTTCGTTGTTTGTGGGTTTTTTTGGTGAAAGACATTGTCATTGCCATATAATATAATTTATATAGATTAATAATTGCAAGCAAACATTTGATTATCCTTTTCTAAACTCAACACTTAACATGAAAATTGTCATTTGGAATTTTTCTCTGTAAATTATAAAAGTTATACTTTCTGTTTTTAGGTTGAAAAGCTGCTGGAAAGTTACCTCAAAGAAATTGGAATTAATGAAGATCAATTTCAAGAAGCATGCACTTCTCCTCTTGCAAAGACCCGTACATCACAGGTTCTGCTTTTCTATCATTCTGCTATCATATAGTTTTCATAAAAATGCCCAGGGTTTCACTTAAATTTGCTATATTTGATTGTCAAAGTATACTATTTTAGACATTGTATGAGTGAAAAGCTAATTCATCACATGTGGGTTCTTTTCTATAATTACCTCAAGAAATGATAATTTGTGGGGCACCCGGGTGGGTCAGTTGGTTAAGTGTTCCACTTTTGATTTCAGCTATGGTCATGATCTGAGTCATGGGATCAAGCCCTGTGTGGGGCTCCCTGTTGGGCCTGGAGCCCGCTTGGGATTCTCTTTCCTGCTCCCTCTGCCCTTTACCCCCCGCAAATAAATGGTAATTTGAGGCATTAATGAACTAATGCAATTAAAAAGGAACTTTCTGAATGCAGAACTATAATGCATCACAGTTTTTATTTATATAAACTGTTCTATTGTTTTATTTATATACTACTGTTTTATTTATATAGATCTCTGACGGTTTTTCAGTTGCCCCTTTTTTAATCTTAGCCGTTCTATAGTACATAGTTCCTGAGGCTTCCTTCTCTTGGAACTATTTTTATTTTTTTAATTTTTACAATTTTTTTAAAGATCTATTTATTTATTTATTTTGAGAGAGAGAGAGAGAGAGAATGCAGGGGGCAGAGGGAGGAGGAGAGAGAATCCCAAGCAGACTCCGTGCTGAGCAGGGAGCCAGACACGGGGCTCCGTCTCACAACCCTGAGATCAGGACCTGAGCCGAAACCAAGAGTCTGACACTTAACTGAGCCACCCAGGTGTCCCTGGAACTACTTTATTGTCACATTAGTTCTGCAGTGCTGGTTTGAATTAGATATTATGTGTATTTATAACTAATATTTACTGAGGGCTCATGTTAGCTGCTGTTTTAGGCACTTGACATGTATTATCTCATTTAATCTTCCTGCTGCCCCATAGGAATTTGGCACTATTTTATTTCCACTTAGAAATGAAAAACCCAATGCACAGATATATTAAATGACTAGTGCAAAGTCCTCTGCTCATTAAGTAGTAGTGCAGGATACCAGCTCAGGCACTCCAACTGCAAGCCCTTGCTCAGAAGTTCAGGGTAGGGATATGTTACTACTACCTAAATAGCCTTCTTCTCAAGTTGCTTTAGCTTTCCATTTTCTACTAAATAAACTGTAATTCCTTAGCCAAATGATAGTGAGGATTGTCTGTGATGTGACCCTAAATTATATTTTCAATCTCCTCCTGCTGTAATTTCTTGATACATTATGTACTATTGTCATTCCAGGCCACTTGTTCTTGGAAGCATCCATGCGTCTGGCTTTGCTCATGCTATTCCCTAACCCTGGAATGTTTGGCCCTTACCTCCCCACCCCAGTATCTTTTCCTTACCAGATAGATCCCTCTTATCATGAGGGCCTTGCTAAAATGTTACTTCCTGTGACAGCTTTCCTGGTCTCTGGTATGCTAGGGTAGACTAGCACTCATTCTACCTCACTGGACATTTTTATTTTTAAGATTTTATTTATTCATTTGAGACACAGAGATACAGAGAGAGAGAGAGAGAGAGCATGAGCAGGGGGAGAGGGAGAAGCAGGCTCCCCACTGAGCCAGGAGCCTGATGCGGGGCTGAATCCCAGGACCCTGGGATCATGACCTGAGCCGAAGGCAGATGCTTAACCATCTGAATCACCCAGGCACCCCCTCACTGGACATTTTTATATTTTTTCGTACTCTGCCCCAAATTCTAGTTTCTTACAAGTCTGTTAACCTTACTAGATTATAAATCCTTTGAAATGTTTTTAGTATCTTTGCATTCCCAGTGTCTAGCACATAGATGAGAACCTAGTTACTAGTAGGTAGTTCTTAATAAATGTTAACTTAAATTATCTTCTTACCATGGTCTAGAAGAGGGTGCTTTGACTACTGTTTAATCCAGTGCTTCCTGCTATAGTTCTCTGTTGTACAAGATTTTCTTATTTAGCGATCATCCCTAATTCTAGAGATAGAACATCCTTTTTTTTTATTATGTTATGTTAATCACCATACATTACATCATTAGTTTTTTTTTTAAAGATTTTATTTATTTATTTGACAGAAAGAGACACAGCGAGAGAGGGAATACAAGCAGGGGGAATAGGAGAGGGAGAAGCAGGCTTCCCGCGGAGCAGGGAGCCCGATGCGGGGCTCGAAGCCAGGACCCTGGGATCATGACCTGAGCCGAAGGCAGACGCTTAACGACTGAGCCACCCAGGCGCCCCACATCATTAGTTTTTGATGTAGTGTTCAATGATTCATTGTTTGCGTATAACACACAGTGCTCCATTCAGTACGTGCCCTCTTTAATACCCATCACCAGGCTAATCCATCCCCCCACCCCCCTCCCCTCTAGAATCCTCAGTTTGTTTCTTGGAGTCCATAGTCTCTCATGGTTTGTCTCCCCCTCCGATTCCCCCCCTTCATTCTTCCCTTCCTGCTATCTTCTT